CTATTTGTTTGTATTTTTAAACCATGGTCATTCTCACAGAAGTAGGGTGGCATCTTATTATGGCTTTAATTTGCATTTCCTGATAATGGATGCAGTGAAAAAGGAACTGCTGGTGGGACGTCAAATTAGAACACTGGAGTACTCCTCAGCCATACAAAGGAATGAAATAATGTCTTTCACAGCAACTTGGATGGACCTGGAGACCATTACCCCAAGTAAAGTATCCCAGGAATGGAAAAACAAATACCACATGCTCTTACTAACAAGTGGGCGCTAAATGATGGGTATGCATAGGCACAAAGTGGTGTAAAGGACACTGGAAATTAGGAAGTGGGGAGAGTGGGAGGAAGTCAGAGATAAAAACTTGCCTATTGGGTACATTATTCTGGTGATGGGACTCTAAAAGTCCTGAGTTCAGCATTATGCAATTTATCCATGTAATAAAAATATTTGTACCCATTCGTATTTGTTTTTTTTTTTTTTTAAAGACAGAGTCTCACTTTGTCACCCTCAATAGAGTAATGTGGCATCACAGCTCACAGCATCCTCAAAGTCTTGGGCTCAAGTGAGTCTTTTGCCTCAGCCTCCCAAGTAGCTGGAACTAGCTGCACCTGCTACAACCCCTGGCTATTTTTAGAGACAGGGTCTCACTTACGCTCAGGTTTGTCTCAAACCCATGTGAGCTCAGACAATCCACCTGCCTTGGCCTCCCAGAGTGCTAGGATTACAGGTGTGAGCCACCATGCCTGGCCTCCCTTTATATTTTAGAAAAAAAGCATATTAAAATTAGCTCATTAAAAACAGGGAAGAGAAATCACTCCAGGACAAGTTGGGGCAGGGAAGTGAAGATGGGAAAGGGAAGCTAAGAGGAGAGAGGCACTACCTGCTGGAGAATGGCAAGTTTAAGAGAGGCAGGAGGGAGCTGGGTGAGAGCCAGGCTAGATCAAAGCTGAGAGGTTGCCAAGTGTGGCCTTCAGTCCCAGCCACTTCTCTCTGCACATGTCAGGGAGGCACTGACAAAGAGGAGAAAGCTGATTCAACAACCATATTTCACTTCTCCCCCCCACCCTTGAGTTTCCTAAATATAGAAAAAAACAAGTAAGAGGGAGGACATAGAATCCCAAATTAGAAATAAGCACAGAAGCGTCTTGTGCATGATTCACTAATCTGCATTTACTCACATATGCAGAGATCATTCAAAATATCATAGAATGGCCATGCGTGTGTGACATCATAAGTCCCTTCATTAGCAATGAAAAGCCTTTTAAGATGTAGATAAACTTCTCTGGGAAGGCTAGTTTCAAGAATTTGCTTGGGGAGGAAACATACCTGGATTTTATATTACCCTTGACAGAATTCTGAGCATTCATAGAAAGCGGAAGGAAGGCAGAGTGTGGAGTGGAGGGAAAGTGACGAGAGTGGTGAGAAGTTGTGGGTGAAGCAAACTGCACAGTGACAAAGTGTTAAACACGTGCTGCGTACAGCACCATGCTCAGCTCTGAACCAAGGCGGTACCTGCTCATCCAGAAACACGAGCTGTGGTTGCACTGGCAGTTCCTTTCCCACTTCTCCATCCGAAGGTTGGACGAGGATGGAAAGAGCATAGGGCCGAATATAGACCAGGTTCCCACTTGTAAAGCTGCTTGTATTCCTGGCAGATGTTAAAACAAACAGAATATATCTATAGGACAGATATATAGGATATATCTATCCCTGCAGCAGGGATTTTTGATAATACATTCACACCAGTGAAAATATTTTCACTTGCCTGTGTTTCTAGAAACTCAGTAATATCATGAGTGGATAGTGAAAATGACTTTTTACCAATGAATAATTGTATATTTATTTGATATGTTTGCTTAGCCACAATTAAAAATGAACTGGGGGTGAGCAGAAACACACATTAAGAACTCATATTTGCATTACTGGTTGTTAAGATCAGCCACCCCCTTCCCCCTAAAAAAACCTCAATGAAAGAATTTATCAGAATAAAATACTCAGAGCACGGAGACATATACAATAGTATGTTATTAAACCATTTCTTTCAAAAAATGCTCTGATCTGTGGTGTGTTCCAGCATCCATAGTATAAATACTGATGCTGTCACTGCTTCCAAGTTATGAAGGCAACATCCCTGGGCAGAGACGGGGAGAGACGATAAGAACAAACTCTAGTGCACGCGTTTTACAAAGAGTAGATCACTTAGTCCTGACGACACTTCTTAGTATTCATATTCTCCAAGCATGCTTGCACTAAACAGATTTAATAATTGTGGCATTAATTGATTATTTTAATTGCACAAAACACCTGTGGAGAAAACTTAAAATGACACTATGAAGTAGCTACTCTGATTTACATATGACAAAAACAGGTCCAAATAAGTAATTTGCCAAAGGTCTTACAAATAGTAGGTGCTGTCCCAGGTCTAGAGCGGCTAACCAATGAACTATGTTGCTTCTCCCGTCATTAGAGCATACTAGTTGCTGATGTGACTTAACCATAAAATGGAACACATCTAAAGTAGTTACGTAAGTATTTCTGGTATTTTTCAACTAGCAACAATCATGTCTCAGATGAACCTCATTGGCTGTGGTAGTGCCACTGTGCAAAGCTATGTCTGGTATTTTTGATGACTGAATTAGCTTGTGTTATTAATAAAAGAACATTATACACCTATTGTTTCATTAATTCCATTATATATTATATATTATACATCATAGGTGTGTAACATTTGACAGTTAAATGGAGCTATATGGACATCATACATCATATATACAGGGTAGCTATAAAGTTTGGGTGCAATTTTAAATTGCATACTATTTTAAATTGTACACGACCTTTATGGCCACCTTGTATTTTCCTAAAATAGGGTATCCCTTGGTGAGTTACCCTCAAAACAGCCTAGACCAGGTCTAATGAGGATAATATTTTTTAAGTAGCTTATCCTGCCACCTCTCATTTAATGTTCATGAGTCAGCTGTTCTACTCCTAACCTATAAACAGGTATTTATTTTTCGTGGAGGTATATGTCACATAAAGGCGAAGATTAGTCCTAAAAAAGGAAACAGTGGAAGAGTAAATACTATGATCACAAAATATGAAAGTTCTGCAGGAAGCAATTTTTTTTCTCCCCTGGGAATCCTAGGAAATACAGGCAGGGTGAGAATACACGGTCTTAGGAAGCCCCTTTGGTCATCTACCAGTAAAGACCCTGGCCTCTATGCTAGAATCACTCTCTGGAAATTCAACACACACACACTAGCCCAACCATCATTTACCAGTTTGTTATGCCTGAGTGGGGAAAGCTCTTTTCAGTTTTTTAAATGGAACAATTTAAAACCAGATTTTAAAAAACCTAATGCTATTAATTTTACCCTTCTAGGGGTCCCAGGTTATTGGAAAATTCTAACCTTGTTACCCCCTATAAGAGATCTTATTTCTCCCCTAACCTATTCCTTAAATGCTTTCCTATGAGGGCCAGGATACGGGCAAGCAGTCTGGCTTAAAGAAGCGGAAAGACCCCATCAGAGATGCTGACATAACCACACTGATGTCTAGAGACGGAGGGATGGGGACCAACTGCCTGAACACCCGCTGAAAGGCTGCTCCTGACACACTTTAAAGTTTATTGTGAGCAAACATCTCTTATTAAATGTAAACAGCATCTCACTGGAGGTCAGGGACTGTCTGCTGCAGCATATCCCAAGGTAATACCACTTTAAGCTCCACATAAACTCTTAAGCAGTTTCTATCCTAAAACCTGACCGTAGGTGGTACAGTTTTTTACGATATGTTATAATAGTGCAATAAATCTGTTAGCTTAAAATCGAATCTCCGTGGCCTTTTAGAGAAATCATCATTAAATGCAGGGTCCTGTTAATGATGCCATCGGAGTGAAATTGTTTAATCTGCTAAGGGGGTGAAAGGTCACCAAATGAATTTTTTATAATACATCAACTTGACACGCAATAGGGAAAACTGTAATAGATAAAAGCAAAGGAAAAGGGCACTGTCTTCTTCTGATAGGTCAATAGCAGCCAAGAGAGTCACTCATCCACTTTCCTTTCACGATGGGGCTCCTTTTGCATTTAATATGGACACCCAATTAATACCTCAGCACCACAGACAACCTCATTTTAGGTGACTTATAGCAATTTCTCCCCCTTCCCTGAAATGAAAGTGATCACAATACATCATAGCATTGTGCGAATTAACGTTAATTGATTCAAGTTACCAAGCAATGATGGGCCACTTATATAATCTAGGCGTTATTGGGTGCTAGAAGGGATGGAGGGAAGATTAGATTCCAGTGTCCGTTGCTGTGACGACGGGAGTCACCTGACGCCTTGTTAGACAGTTGTAAGGTTCTATTGCTGGCCCCAGTGGGGTCGTCAGTAAACTGGAGTGATGTCCAAACATCATTACACGCTGCTCCAATATTAAAGCAAAGGGATTAGCAACTTATTGCAAGCAACCTGGATTTGTCATTGTGCTGTCCTTATCCAATTTCCAACTGCTAATGTGACTGTAGCCTGCAGGCAGGAGGACCTACAGCCAAACTTTAAAAAATGGGGAAGGAAAGTTCCCTCCATTCCTCCCGGTGTTAACCACAGTTTAACAGCGTCTAATACCCAGGCAGGTATGTGAAAGAATTTCTTTTCCCCCTCTGATGCTTAAGTGCAGGCTAAAGGCGAAAGAGAGAGAGAATACAGAAAATTCACAGTTTAGAGACCACTGCGATTCATTCCAACCCCTACGTTTCAATCCACCACATCTGAAATATTTACTCTGTGGACAGTTGGACTGTTTCCATTTATACAGCAAACAAATAAACATCTGTGGTGAAAGCCGGCTCTGCCCAAGACCATCTAGAGTCCCGTGGAGTGGGTGATTAGAGATACTCTCTTTTCAACTTTCCCCTTCTCAAATCTGCTAAGCCAGATTCCTACAAAAAGGCCATATACTGTGACTGAATGTCTCATGCTATTCTGAGCATTTTTGATCTCTCTTGCTTTAAATAGGTTGTATAAGGCAGAAAAGTCTATAAGTATCATGAGCGCACTTGAATTCTAAAGGAGTTTAGATGATTCTGTACTTTGGAAGGAAAAAAAAAATGTGTTCTTTAGTCAATTCATAATGTCAACTCTCCTACTTTGTACAAGCACCATTCAAGGGACTATAATATTAATATATGTCAAAATAAATAAAACACTATGACCCCTGCCACCCAGGAAAACTCTACCATATCATTGGGAAGACAGCAATGACTTTTCTAGTTAAATTTCTGAGTTGATACAAATAATTTTACTTACATTTCATGGTCCTTCTGCTCTCTGTTAAATTTAGACAGGCTTTCTGAGTGGCTGGCAACTCATAGAGGGGAAGAAATGCCTGTGATCTGAAAGTTTTCTTCTGTGATCTAGTGTAGCCATGGGGAACCACCGTCCAAAGGCCACACGTGGCCTCTCAC